GTTTTTGGATTTGTGGTTTCTTTGTTTTTGGAGTCCCAACGTGGGACTTGCTCTGTTTTTATTTTGGTATTTTTTTCAAATGCTGGAATGTATTAATCACATTCCCGTGCATTTCAGTGGGAAAACGGTGCTTCAACTTAAGAACGTTTCCACTTAAGAATGCCGTCCCAATACAGATTAAGTTCTTAAATCGAGGTACCACTGTACTCTACTGAGAAAGCCTCCTAAACTGGTCCCATCTGATGAATTCAAAATTAGATGACACCCAAAAACTCAGAGCAGTGTAATCTTGCTTAAGATAGCTAGAAAGAGATGACCTGAACAGTATCACTAAGGAAAAGTCAAAAAGATGCTCACCAAGAAGAGAAACATTGGCGGGTGCTAATAACCCACTGTTCCTTCACCAGTGACCCTCCGCAGAAATGGACTCCTTCTCTAGACACCATGAAAAGGGAAAGCACAACGTTGTTATTTTTGTTATGTGCTGTCAAGTTGCCTTCAAGTTATGGTGACCCTATGAGCTCCAGAAAGTCCTCTCACCCACAGCCTGGTTCAGCTCTTGAATGCAAGGAAGCTGCCTCTTGTGACCCAATCATCCCTGCTGCAAAGTCACTTACATTCTTATCCATTGTTCTCAACCTGCAGGCTCAAAGATGCCCCTTGCTCTGTTCACCTGTTGCTCTTAACCTCCTCCTTCCTTTCTGAGCACTTTCCCATGTTCATACAGTGGTGCCTCGCTCAGCGATGTTAATCCGTGCAGCAAAAATCACTGCTAACCGAAAACATCACTAAGCGATCTTAAAAAGCCCATAGAAACACATTAAAACCTGTTTAATGCGTTCCTATGGGCCTGAAAACTAACCTTAAGCGAAAATCCTCCATTGCAGTGGCCATTTTCGGTGCTTCTAAAGGGAGGCAACACAGTGGGTGGCCATTTTGTTTACCCGACGGCCATTTTGGAACCGCCGATCAGCTGTTACAAAATCATCACTTTGCGATGATCGGTAAGTGAAACAGGGTACCGATCATCGCAAAGCGATCGCAAAAACATTGTCAGTATGTGGTTTCGTCGCTAAACAGAGCACCCGTTAAGCGAGGCACCACTGTACAGTAGTCAGAATTTTGTAAAACCACAACCTATATGGAACCACACCATCATCAACATCACAATCGTGCCATGTTCTTCTCACCTATTGCGGATGCTGACTGTCCAAGGTGAGTTTCCTGGGCGTCCTCCTACAATACGAGCCCGTCCTCCAGTAATAGGAGCTAGCACCTGCATTCGATCATCCCTTTTGCCACACTGGTCAAAGACTACCTCCTCTGCAAGCAGGAAGTTAGAGCACAGCCAAGCACAGTGTCCTTGTGATTTTCTTTGTTTTGTTTTGTAAATGGATTCCCTCTGCCCCTCTCTCCGCTGATTGACAGAGCTGGCAGACCAGAGTCAAAGTAGGGGGGGGCTGAGCTCTGGGTCTCTAGCTCAGTTATATTCCCATGCCACCAAAAGGGCCTTCACATCACAAAACATGGGACATCAAATGCAAAATTACTTACCTGGGTTCAGGAAGATAGATGGCTTTGTCTCCCCAGCTGCAGAAACAAAATGTAGAGCTGGCTCATACATGCAATTCCACCACTCAGCTTCTCTACATCCATTACTATATATTTGTTTACTAGCAGATTATATTTGTTTATTAGAAGATAAAATGTCTCCACTGAAGAACAATACATGTGATATTTATAGACACATACACAATATCCTTCCACAAAATGTAAGAGATTTGATGTTGTTGCAGACATTTATTGAGGAACATGCATGCACATATAAATCAGTCCATTTACCATTAGGCATCCTTTAGTCTCGAAAGACTATGGTAATGTGCTCTGTATGGAGGACTTAGAACAGCGCCTAGTGTGGCTGAGGAGGCCAATTTGAGAGTGACAATCCCTTCCACACTAAAGACAAATACAATCTGTTCCCTGTCCAGCTCCCTGGTTTTGCTGCTTTTGTGACTTCCTCTTTGCCTCGGCCTGCTGGACAAGGGTCTCTTCAAATTGGGAGAGGCCGTGATGCAATGCCTGCCTCCAGGCTGAACACTCAGATGTCAGGGTTTCCCATCTCTTGAGGTCCATTCCTAAGGCCTTCCGATCCCACTTGAAAATGTCCTTATATCACAGCTGTGGTCTCCCTCTGGGGGGATTTCCCTGCACTAATTCTCCATACAGATCTTTTGGAATCCGACCATCAGCCATTCTCACAGCATGCCCAAGCCAATGTAGACGTCGCTGTTTCAGTAATATATATATGCTAAAAATTCCAGCTCGTTCTAGGTGCATAATTGCTAGGATTTCTAATTGGAGAACTATAGGTTTGAATGAAAAGACAGAGGTTTTCCTCAATTCCATGCCCTTAAAGAGCAGTTGATGTAGTAAAAGCTTGGACAGGATGTTAAGCAAGGCTATAGAGTAGCTATTTCGCATCCAGGACCACATTGCTGCTGTTATGTGCTGTCAAGTCACCTCTGACACATGACAATCCTTTGAATGAGTGATCTCCAAATGTGCTGTCTTCAACTGCTCTGCTCAGCTCTTGTAAACTCAAACCTGTGCATTCCTTTAGGGAGTCAATCCATCTCATATTTGGCCTTCCTCCTTTTCCAGCATTGTTACCTTTTCTAGAAAATCCAGAGAACCCTGCCTTCTCATGATGTGCTCCAAGTAGGACAGCCTCAGCATCAACATTTTTGGCTCCAGATATAATCCAGGCTTCATTTGATTTAGGAACCACATGTTGCTCTTTCTGGCAGTCCAGGGTAGCCACAAAGCTCTCATCCAGCACCACAATTCAAATTAATCAATTTTTTTTTTGGTGCAGGAACACATAGCCATTGCATATTCATGAATATTTCTTGAGCCATGAGGGTCAGAAGTTTATATATAAAGGAATGATACAATTCTGTACATTCAGGAGGCCTGAAGTCATATTAGACTAGATTATTCTTCACGTATTTCACTTTAGACTAAGGGTTGCAGAGGTATGTGGAATTTAAAATGAGAATGATGTTGTAATTGTGGAATGGGGGACTTACGATCCTTCAGATGTTGCTGGGCCACAACTCACATTATTTATAGCTGTTTATTTATTTATTTACAATATTTATATGCCACTTTTCTCCTAAATGGTCAAAGGTGGCTTACAGTGTTAAAAAGAAATAAAGTTAAAAGCTAAAATAATAAATTATTACAACATTAAATAAGAATTAAAGAGATATGATATTAAAACTCATAAATATCAATATTAAATGCAACAGAATATTAAATGCAAAACAACAAAATACAGTAACCTCTTTCAAAATTCCCCTTGGTCAACCAGGCATATCTTGCTCCTCGCCTTCTGTCATAACCACAACCAAGGCAGCCGGCCAGAGGGTCTACAGCAGGGGGTCCCCCCAACCTTGGGCCTCCAGATGTTCTTGGCCTTTCACTCCCAGAAATCCTGGCCAGCAGAGGTGGTGGTGAAGGCTTCTGGGAGTTGTAGTCCAAGAACATCTGGAGGCCCAAGGTTTGGGACCACTGCTTTACATCACAGTTGTCTCAGGTACTCACCACACAGCTCTATAGCACAGTAATCAAACGGAATGTTATGATTCATGGTGTAGCACCAGGGCCCATGGCTGTCATTGTCAGGATTGCGGCAATAATTCTCTTCAAGATGCACAGTAGGGAACATGGTAGGAAAGACCCTAAGAAGAAGAAAAGCCAGGGGTGCCTTCTGCCCATTATGAATTAATTGTCCACCAACTTCCTACTATACCTTTCAGACCTATCGGGGCAAATTCTTTTTCTTGCAATGTAGATGCACCATCAATGGGAATGAGTTGGACGTGTGTAAGTATTTCCTTGGCTGAGTATTGAATTTTGCAAAGATCCAAAACAGCACTGTTTTGTTGCTAGGAAGATGCAAATATTCCACAGCTAGCAAGTGTATGATGATGAGCAACATAATCCCCCTCTTTGTTATGTTAATTTTGTACATGTAATTTTATTTCTTTAGAGGCTCCAAACTTCCTCACAATGCCACTCAAGAACAGGAGCATTTCCTTTCCATTATTCAAAGTTTTAACTTATATTCTCAGGTCAGCACCTCAACATTCTGCAGTCCATTTTTTAAATTTTTAATTGAATTATTTGGAGGCTATATACACTCCCTTCTCCAATGGCACTAGACATTAGGTCCCATTTAACTGAGTAGTTAGGGACGTGGTGATGGTGCAGGCTAAACCGCAAAGCCTTTGGGCTGCAAGGTCAAAAGATCAGCAGTTCAAATCCACACAATGGAATGAGCTCCCATCACTTATCCCAGCTCCTGCCAACCTAGCACTTCAAATGCATGTAAAAAATGCAAATAGATAAATAGGTGCCACCTCAGTGGGAAGGTAACAGCATTCCGTATCTAGTCACGCTGGCCATGTGACCATGGAAACTGTCTACAGACAAAACACTGGCTCTACGGCTTGGAAACAGGGATGAGCACTGCCCCCTAGAGTCTGGACTACAACTCCCAGAAGACCCCCAGGCCACTTGGTGGGCTCTTGCCTTTGCCCCAGCACCCCCAACCTCCTCATTTCTCCCAGGGGTTCTCCTTGCGCTTTGCATGTAAAAAATGCGAGTAGATAAATAGTTACCGCCTCAGTGGGAAGGTCATGGCATTCCGTGTCTAGTCGCATTGGCCACGTGACCATGGAAACTGTCTACAGACAAAACACTGGCTCTACGGCTTGGAAACAGGGATGAGCACTGCCCCCTAGAGTTGGACATGAATGGACAATTTGTCAAGGGGAACCTTTACCTTTTTAAGTCAGTAGCTATGTCCCCACATCACAAGACTACACTTTATTTTACCTTTGTTTTCTACCCTGCAACCCAATTTTCTTGGGGATTCTTCTAACCTCAGTGAAGCCACAACATTACACAGTCTTTGCGTCACCTTGCTATTCTTAAGAATATCTAGGTTTTTTTACTTTCTTGTGTGGATGTCTGGTAGCACTGGGAGGCAAATGTGCAAGCTACAACCCCAAAAGATCATAACCTTACAACAGAGCTTTGCCATACAGCATTAGGACCCTCCCGGTTTCCTCTCCTAGTAAAACAGTCTGTCCTCCAGGAAAGTGCTATGCTGGCACTTTTCATTTATCTTACCTTGGCTGTCAGACCTGACTAAGGATTGATGATAAATTTTTTTAAAAAAAATGTTTTTGAGAACTTTCCAAAAATTCATAAATATCTTTATGAAAGTAATGGAAATACCTTGAGCTTAAAAAAATTAACATGAGAGAAAGCTATGCGGACACCCACAAACCGAGATGAAAAACCTAGTTCTTGGCCTGTTCCAATGATTTGCCTTCACTTTTGCTCCTCCCTCACCCCTATTACCCATATAGCTTCAAAACACAGGAAGGAAAAAAATCCCTCTCCTAACAGACAACCCATCACATACACACTCACTGGGGTTTGTGAGGGTACTGCTCGTTCCATCTCTGGCAGGTGATTCCCTTCCTGGTCTTGCTAACGGTGCCTATATAGTCTTCTCCATTTCCACGGTAACAGTCTGTGGGGACAAAATTACTCACTTTATACAGTGGTTTGGTATGGATTGCCAGCAAATATTGCACCCTGAGTCTCCTGAGACCCCCCCAAGCCCCTCTGTGACCCTCACACTCACCTCCATGACCCCCCTACTTGGCTCCCGTTGCCATGTTGCTTTCCAGGCCTACACAGGCAGTGGGCCTGGAAGGGAAGCTGACTAGGCTTGACCCCTGTGATCCCCCACCCTCTCCATGACCCCCCAAAGTGATGATCCTCCATGCTCCCCCTACTCCTGTGTCATGCTGCCTTCCAGGTCTGTGCAAAAAAGTGTGTTGCTCAAAGTGTGCTGCTTATATACTGCCCCATAGCACTTAAAGCACTCTCTGGGCAGTTTACACGTTAATTACGCAGGCTACACAACAAACAGCAAGGCTGGAAGGGAAGCTGAGTAGACCTGATGCCAGTGCCCTTCCTCCCATGCCCCCCACCCACCATCTGCTCCTGCCACTACCCTGCCTTTGAGGTTGCACAGACAGGTGGGCCTGGAAGGGAAGCTGAGCAGGCCTGATTCCTCCCCTCCCCCCCAATGACCTTCTGCCTCCTCCATCACCCTCCATTCCATGACCCCTCCATACCCCTCCATGAACCCTTCCTGCCTGCTCCTGAGACTTCCCTTCCTATGTGATCCACTGCCTCTGCAGGCCCGGCTGTCACCTGGGCTGCAGGTGAATGGTGGAAGCAGCAGTCCCTTGGCTCCTGGAAGGGAAGCCTGGCCTCTGAAGATGGCCCCCCCCCCCCCCAAGGAGAAGGTAAGAGCTCCCTGAGACCTCCCTCCTCTTCCATGCCCATCCCCCACTTGTTCCTGCCACCATGCTGCCTTCCAAGCCTGTGCAGACAGCAGGCCTAGAAGGGAAACCAAGCAGGCCCATGTGCCATGCATGGGTAGGGTTGCCAGATGTCAGGCAAAAGGAGGACATGTCCTAATTTTTAGCCTAATGTCCTCCATCAGGCAGGCAAAGATAAAAACCTTTAAAATGTCAGGCTTTTGTATATTTTATGTTATAATTTTGGATGGGAGGGGGAGAGGTTGAAGGACCCCCTTCCCCCTGGCTTTCCCTGCCCCCAGCTGCCCACCCACCCCTGGTATTTTGAAAAAAAAGCCTCCATTGAATTTATTTTTAATTTTTAACATGACTGTTATTGTTCGGTTCACTAAGAGACATTTATTGGCAGCTATTGTAATAAAATTGTATTGATTGTGGGTTTAATCTGGAATGATTCAAATGAAACATTCAATATCTCCCCCTTTGTCCTCCTTTTTGTGTTTCTATGTCCTCCTTTTAGTACCCATGTATCTGGCAACCCTATGCATGGGTGAATGCAGCAGGCCGGCTCCAAGAATGGAAGTCTGGCCTGTTGCCTTTGAAGGTGGTGGTGGTGGCGGTGGAAGCAGCAGCAGGTGGAGTGGGGCGGGGCCAGGCCCATAGGGGCTCAGCAAGGCAGCTCAGACAAATGGGCCTGGGTCACGAGTCTCCATCCCTGATCCTAGCAAGGAAAAAGGGCAGGAAGTTCAAAAATGGTGCTGGGGAAGTCTTCAGAGGCTTGTCCACCTCCATCGCAGGACTGCTGGGGGACCTCTGAAAGTGGTGATCCTGGTTGCAGGAGACCCCTGCCAGTCCTCCGATAGTGCTTCCCCAGCTCCCTACCTGGTAAGTGATTTTTTTAAAAAAAACATTCCCATAGGAACGCATTAATTAAATTTAAATGCATTCCTATGGGAAAACATACCTCGCAAGATGAAAATGTCTTCTTGCGGGGCACCAAAAAACTCACAATATGCTTTTGTCTTGCATGTTTTTCATTGCCCGAGGCATTTATCTTGCGAGGTACCACTGTAACCATTTTCAAAGGCAGAGAAGTCTGCGTTTCTGGCTTTTTTAAAAATAAATTCCAACATTCTAAACATGACTGAATGTTTGGTCCTGCCAATTAATTTACTATCATGGCCAAAAAGACATTAAAAAGTTTTTATTTATTTATTATTTATTTGATTTATTTGATTTATACCCCGCCTATCTGGACCAATGGACCACTCTAGGCGGCTATTTCTTCAGAGGCTTGCCCAGCATCATTGGAGGACTGCTGGGGGACCTCTGAAATCCTGGTTGCAGGGGACCCCTGTCAGTCCTCCGATGGTGCGTCCCCAGCTCCCTACCTGGTAAATGACTTTTAAAAAAAATTCCCATAGGAACGCATTAATTAAATTTCAATGCATTCCTACGGGAAAACAATCCTCGTAAGATGGGAAAACATACCTTGCAAGATCTTCATCTTGTAGGGAATGGCAACAATCTAAACATGACTGAATGTTTGGCCCTGCCAATTAAATTACTATCCTGGCCAAACAGACATTAAAAAGTGTTTCTATTTTTGGTTTTAAAATATATTTTTAAAAAATAGAGAATAAATATTTAGAATCTCACTCATTTAAAGCTGTGAAATTACTGTTCTTTGCTTGGTGGCTGGTGATAGTAGTAAAAATGTTTGACTTATTCAATTAGGCAGAAGCCTCGTAAAAGCAGGCTATTGTTCTCACTTGAAACAGGTCATTAGAAACTTATTCAGAAGAGAGATTATCTAGCCTCGTAAAAGCAGACCCGACCCCCCCTCCCCCTTGGCAGCAATTGTAATAAAATTGTATTGATTGTGGGTTTAATCTGGAATGATTCAAATGAGATATTCAATATGTTCTCCTTTGTCCTCCTTTTTGTCTTTCTATGTCCTCCTTTTAGTACCTATGCATCTGGCAACCCTCGTCTTGCGAGTTTTTCATTGCCCAAGGCATTCATCTTGCGAGGTACCACTGTAACCATTTTCAAAGGCAGAGAAGTCTCCGTTTCTGGCTTTTTTATAAATGGCAACAATCTAAACATGACTGAATGTTTGGCCCTGCCAATTAAATTACTATCCTGGCCAAACAGACATTAAAAAGTGTTTCTATTTTTGGATAAACAAACCTCAAAAGAAGCCTCCGTGTCTCAGTTCTCTCATTTTTAAGAGCTTTCCCTTTTAGAGAACCGGATTACACTGGGGATGGTCTGCCTCAATGTCAGCAGAGCTTGGGTGCCTATTCCACCCTTCTTGTCACTATTTAATTGTCACTCATTTAAGCTGTGAAATTACTGTTTGTTGCTTGGTGGCTGGGGATGGTCTGCCTCAATGTCAGTAGAGCTTGGGTGCCTCTTCCACCCTTCTTGTCACTATTCAATTACTTGATAATTAAGAAAAAACTCTGAAGATGCTAGGTGTCATCTAGTCACTTCTCACATGTGTGCTTGTACCAGTTACTGACTTACCAAAATGTCCTATCATTAAAAGCTCTTCTCAGATCTTTAAATTCCAATTTTATAACACCAGGAAAAAAAGTCAAGTTTATAAATGTGGGATATTCTGCTTCTGTACCAATAATTCAAAGCTGCCCGCATTGCCAGCAGGAGAAAAGATGCCATAAGTCAGAATCGATTTGATGGCATATGAGTATTTTTATTATTAGAATCCTGAAGCACAGCCATATACATGGCTCCCTCTTTTGCTGTAGATTCTACTCACGTTAACATACAGGAAACCATGCGGTCCTCTGTCCCTCCTTCCACCTCTCAAATATATAGGATCGCACACAAATGCCTGTTCTAATGGTGTATGTATGCCTGTGTAGAGAGAACTCTATAGGCATATACTACTAATTGCTTACAGTAAGTATCAGACTATCTGTATATATAGGTATCTAGTTGCAAGTAGTCAGAGCGCTACCATTAGGCCTTCAGCTTCCAGTGAAAGAGGAAAATAAGGAATTAGTGCTGGAAGATTCCCACTAAATCCCAGCAATATGCAGCATCAGCCCATCCAGCTCTTACCTTCTGCTTCCACATTATCAGCACAGCGCTTGATCTGGAAGCAATAAGCCCTGCGCGTGTTGGGGAAGGTTGTGAAACACCAGGGGGCCTCAGAGCCATCAGGGTTCCGGCAGTAATTCTCCCTCAGATCCCTAGAGGGCAGAAGACCAAGTTTCAGCAAGAGCCCCACCAGCCTAATTCCATGGAAGCACCACCGAGTTTTAAACACCTCCTGAAATCATGTCTCTGGAGCAGCAACAGAGTTCAGCTTCTTCTGACAGGTGCTCTATAAGGCATATAAGGTATAAGGAAGATTTCTTTGCAAATTAGATGAGTTTGCTATATAATTGTTTATCAAGAATTAAGCATACACTTTGCTTGCTTTCTGATTTTGTGGACAGAAATTCAGAGGTGACTGCGCCTCTGAAATGAGAACCTGCTTTCATCATCTAATAATGCTCTAAGCCTAAGTCATACAGTGGACCCTCAACTTACAGACTTTTCGAGTTACAGACTTTTCGAGTTACAGACTTCTCTGGCCACAAAATTTAGATTCGACTTGCAGCCAGAGAATCGACTTACAGACCAGAAAAAAAACCAAAATGGAACAAAAATAGAATAAAAACTGCCAGTTATGGGATTGATCGGTTTTCAATGCATTGTAGGTCAATGGAGACTTGACCTACAGACTTTTCGACTTGCAGCCACCGTTCCAATACGGATTAATTCCGTAAGTAGAGGGTCCACTGTAATATGCTCAGCAACACTGAGCAGAGAAAAACCTTCCAACCCAATAGGAGATATTTTCATGGCACACAGCATCGCCCTTGTGCCAATCCTATTTCCACGTATAAACACATATACACACAAACACACCTCCTGTGCTTACTTGCATTCATATTTCTGAGGCAAATAATGATGGCGATGAGGTATCTGAGAGTCCCAGCGTTGGCAGGGGATGCCTGTTGAAGTGACATTCACCTCACCTCGATAGTCCTCCCCTTTCATCCGGAAGCAGCTAGTTGTACTGGACAGCTGTCGTCGTTTCTCTGCTTTTAAGGATGTGGAAAAATCCACGCAAATAAAATCACAACTATATCACTAAAGCAAAACAGTATGCAACAAAGTAGTATAATTAACAGCTTATTATTCCTCAAATGCATTTTAAAATAATGTTATATTCATTCAGGTTTGGGGAAGCAGCTCAAGTCTAAAAAATGATTTTGTGTATATATGTTTACATTCTGTTTCCTTTCTAAAAATGAATTGCACTGAAAAATTGATTTTTGACCTGTTACAGCAGTGAGCAAAGAAAACATTATATATATGTCTCCAACAGTAAAACTTTACCACTGCAAAAGAGAGATTTTTGTGCATCATCAGTCCAAGAGGAAGACGACAGAAATCAGTATTATAGAGTCATGGAGTTCAAAGGGACCAATAAGGCCATTAACATGGTAGCGCATGTTGGTTTGAAAATACAGTATATTGAATATGTTTCATCAGATGGCTGTAAACTTTCTGAATCTTCTCATGGTTGAGTCCTCAAATATGTTAAGGACCATTGGGCCTTGAGTTCCAAAGAAATTCTCAAATACCCCTTGGCACTTTACCAAGAGATAAAACTGTCATTGTCAAAACTCATCTGGGGATCAAAACAAGTTCTGTTTTGGACAGGACTGGCATTACAAGAGAAGGTTGTTGCCCACCTACTGAATCCCACACCCTAACAAAAGGATGCCCTACCACCCTCTACAGCAGGGGTGGGCAACATGTGACCTGGGGATGGCATAGGAACCTCCACCAGCCGTCTTTGCAGAGGGAAGACAGATGTAACCAGAGGTTCAACTACTGCCCAGAGCCCACTGGTTCTGCAGTTTCCACAAGGTGTGCATTCTCAACACACTATGTCTCCCAGCAGAATCCCTGGGAAGTGGCACAAACAGTAGCAGCAGGTTTGTTAGTGATAAGAGCAGAAGGATACAGCCCCCAGTAGATGTGTTTGGGGCTGTTTACCCCAGGGATGTTGCTGTAGAGCTTTCTGACCCTGCTCTATTCCTTACTGCTTTCGTTGCCTTGATCTCTGTAGGTGTATTCAAAGAGTAAGAAAGAACATCCAGTCCACACCTATTGAATGAAGCACATTACCCCCAACTTCTCCACTGCTGCACTGAACATGGTAGCGCAAATGTCCAAAAAGTGAGAGGTTGCTGTACCCAGGCAGATTCTCCATGTGAACCTGAATCCCAATTCATGGGAGTTGCCTTATATGGAGAGGCAACTCAGGTACAACAGCCTTCCCCTCTTCAGTTACATGCCTTGTTCAAAATGATGATAATGGAGGGGGTGAACCAGTGTGCTCCCCTCAATCTGTGTGAACTGGTCATACTTCCTTAATGACTCAACAAGCCTTAGGAGGAGAGAAGGCAACAGCCTCCTTCAATTGGTTGATGCTCTGAACCAGTTTATATAGGTTGTTTCCAATCAGTGAGAGGCCCAGAGGGCATCTTGCCAAGATTGCTATTTTTGAAATAAGGACAGATGTTAAAATAGACCAAGCCTCCTGCTGAATGAGATGGAAGACGGGTTGCTGTTGTTGTTGTAGAGAAAAAGCTGCCCAGGCTATCTCTGCACTTTTCATTTTTTGAGCTGCCTGGGGCACTTCTCCCATTTCCCTTCTCCACCTTGTGTGACCTTCACATTTCAGACTAGTCAGGGGAAAGAAGCCCAAAGTTGCTGAACTGCCCTGGCCATAGACTCATAATAGTCATCTCTATTAGTGAGTGGCTAGGCAACATCCAGCTGGCAGGAACTGGCCTACCTCCTGGGTTCTTTTCATCAACTCTCTCTTCAGTGTGACACCATCCTCTCTCCACATTACTGACAACAAAACATCTGTATCTCAAGGTGGCTCATGAAACTTCAAGAGGACTTACTGCACTTCCGAATATGGCAATATTCTCGCTCCTTGGCAGGATCCATTGTGTAACACCAAGGACGCTCAGAGTTGTCGGGATTGCGGCAGTAATTGTCGGCAAGGTCTTTGTCAGGGTACCTTTTAAAAGGAGCGGAGAGAAAAAAGGGAGGAAATGCCTACATGTCATTTCTGTCCTCATTCCTTTCTATAGTGAACCTTTATTTGTATTTGTTCTCTGAAGAAGAAGGCAACGTGGCTCCCTCTCCTTATTTAATATAGGGAAGAAAAGATGTTGACAGAGCATTTTGTCCCCTTATGCCAACCCCCTCCAACCTGCCACTCTTTAATATGTTACCCAAACACTGGAACTCAGTACTTGTTTGGCACGAAGGGATGCCTGTGAGGATGCTGCAGGTCCCAGCGCTGGCACTCCGTGCCAGACTCTGTGTGATCCACAAAGCCCCGATAGTCCTCTCCGTTACATGTCATACATACGGCTGAAAGACAATGACAAGAGTTTCATGATGAGATACGTGGAGTAAGACTCACCCTATACCATGATGAAAATGATGAGGAGAGAGGGTTTACATGTCCAAACTGTTGAGCACAATTGAACACTGCACAACCCCTGAGTAGGCAGGGTGGACACTGGGCAAAACTGGAGCGGTTGCCAGATGAAGGCACAGGGAAAACACCAAATGACACCAGACACTAGGAAAACTTAAGCGAACTTCAGACAACAGCAGACACACAGACATCAAATTAAACAAGCAGAAACAAGCTAATAAAAGCTAGCACATGTAGATGTAACAGTATATTGGACACAAGTAGACAGATTACTCAAGCAGGATATCAATCAAACAAAAAGGCAATAGAATTAGCATCATATCATCCAAACAGATGTGCATGTGCCTTATAGAAAAAGAAGTTATAGCCACTGCAGGTGGTTGCTGACCCAGAGAACCGTTCCTTCTGCTCCATAGCGAAAGAATAAACTCAGCTATTCCTAAGGAGACATTTCTGGTGACCTACCTTCAGAAGCACAACAAGATTTTGCCTCCCATTACTAGGCAGGTGTTTATCCTACAAAGAGCATTTGACCTATACCTATATGGCAATGCCAGAGCTCAAAAGGAGAGGATAGAGCCTTTCTTGGCCAGCCAGGTAACCTACCTCCATGATTCTGAGTAATTTTCTCTGCTGTTAAGAGAACAGCAGTCAGAGATCAGGCATTAGGCTAGGCCGTGGAATTAATAAGATGACGATGAGCCTGCAGACATTTGATCACAACTCTAATCAGCCCTGGCCAATGATCAGGGCTGATGAGATCTGTAGTTCTATAATGTCATGAGAACGCCTGATTTAAAATTTTAAAAGATGTGGAGAGAGGTGTATTTTAGTTTGAGGACCTCACTAGGTTTGGCTTGGTTTTAATCTACAGTCCCACGTGACCCCAGAAGAAGGGAATAGGAAGCCACTTCTGAATTTTCTCTAGCTGGAAAACTGTGAAAAGGGTCGCTGTAATTTAGAATGGACTTGATGGCACACAATTATTTATTATTTACATTAGGTTCCAAAGTGCCAAAACATGGGACCCCAGCAGTCTAATTGCTTCAAATGACAACGGGGTTCTTGATGTGTTTGAAACTAGAACTTTACATTATCAGTGCAAACACATATAGGCTAATAACTGTGACCTTATATGATACTGTATAAAATAGACATTCACAGCTCCTGGCCAACAGGTGGTCAAGCCAACCTACAAACCATTTTCACATTTCTTGATGCCACAGCTTTGGTACCGGATGGCTGGATCCGTTGTGTAGCACCAGGGTCCTTGCTTATCTTTATCGGGATTCCGGCAGTAATTTTCTTCCAATCCATTCTGCGGCAAAAGAGCAAACCTTATGAAAGAAAGAGAGAGAATAAGAACACAAATTTTGGTGCAAACAAAGTTTTTATTCTGCTCTTTATTTTCTTTGGGAAACACATAGTATTTATTGGCTGGAATCCTATTTAGTAGTTACACAGGTGTAACTTGACATTATGCCCACGAGTCATGACACATCATGCCAAGGCAAAAGTGCTATCCATGAAGAATTGTCTGCCAGGACATGGCACAATCAGTCGAAACAGGAACTGTGCAATTAATTGGTTGCACAATCAGTTTGTGCAACTTATTGCCAGGGTCAAATGTATAGCGCATTCATGATGACGTAATTTCTGAATGAACAGGATTCTGGCCATTGTTTGAGAGATTTATTTTCAGATTTACAGTTTCTCAGGGAGGCTTACAAAGATTCACCTATGATCGTGAGGAAACTTCAGCCGCCACTGTTGACAGATTTTCTTCTTTTCTGTCACTGACTGGGTCCCTCTGTAGTCACTCCCATCTCCCATGATACAATTTCTTACGTAACCTGTGTGAGAGAGAAACACCTGAACACTGTGATGACAAACTCATGCCCAGTGGCACAAGACATCATAGCACAATACAGTATGTAAATGTGATTTGTGGGACATTATACGCTTTCCCGGGTGAAAAGATACGACCCTCTTCTCTTCTGAGACAGGGATGTGAAGACAAACTCATGCCCAGTGGCACAAGACATCATGACACAATATGTAAATGTGATTTGTGGGACATTATATGCTTTCCCGGGTGAAAAGATACAACCCTTTTCTCTTCTGAGACAGGGATGTGAAGGTGTCAGGATAACTCAGTGGATTAAGTATCTGGCTGTGGAACCAGAGGTATAGAAACTGAATTCCCCACTGTGCCTCAATGATCTATAAGGGTACCTTCCAGCTCTGCAGTTCTAAAATGATGGTGATGGTGGTGATGAAAACGGGGTGGGGAGAGTCAATTAATGGACTCCAGAACACCAAAGAAAAAAATATTATTCTGTAGTAACTTCATTGTGTCACTAGATGGTATCAAAAGACAATAACAGAAATAAAAGAGACTGCAAGCAATAAGAATAAATTATGTTTATATAACAGAGCTAATAAAAAACAACTGGCAACATACGTTGTTGCCATCTCTGTCTGTTAATTCAGACAAAATAAGTTGCTTTTTATTTTGTTGTTTAGTCGTTAAGTCGTGTCCAACTCTTCGTGGCCCCATGGACCAGAGCACGCGATGCCCTCCTGTCTTCCACTGCCTCCCAGAGTTTGGTCATTGACCAAAGCAACTTATTTTGTCTGAATTAACAGACAGAGATGGCACCAACTTATGACAATATTGTTTTCCTCATGTAGTAATTGTCATGAAGGCAATTACTACATAAGGAAGTATGGTATGGACCTAATATAACATAAAACTGAGTATTAGGGGACTATTATGAAAGAAGACAAAATAATATTTCTTGACATATTACAGCCAATTTAATTAGCCTATGGATACTTTATGTTGAAGCACATTTGATAAAGTGAGGCTACTGAGCCTGCTGTCAGAAAGGATATACTGGCAGGTGCTTAGAGACTAGACAATAATGATGAATACCCTGTTTCCCTGAAAATAAGACAGGGTCTTATATTAATTTTTGCTCCAAAAAATGCATTAGGGCATATGAGTATTTTAGGGGGTGTTTTATTATTTTTTCATGTACAACAATCTACATTTATTCAAATACAGTCTTGTCATCTTCTGGTTGCTGCACAATGCTGCCCAATGGAGGGCAAGGTTTCACTTAACTAGGGCTTATTTTTGAGGCAGGGCTTTTATTACGAGCATCCTGAAAAATCCTATTAGGGCTTATTTTCAGGTTAGGTCTTATTTTCGGGGAAACAGGATACATAATACAAAGAAATAAACCTCATGCTTTTAACCTCAGTCATTGGCTGAAGAAATAGTATAAATACAGTATAGGCCGTATTGAACAAATACAGTAGAAGACGGAAAGAAATATACACACTTAGAAGTTTCCTGGTGCCTGGCTATTTTTACATCTTAGGTAAGAAAATACTGTTTTCATGCTGTGAGACTTTCTAGATTTTTAAAACCTGGCTTATGAGAATTATGAGGCTAAGGTATCTTGTGTTAACCATTTTGGGTATAATAACAATTTTCTAATTTCTTGAAATCATTTCTCTTCTGTATCTGAAACATAAGTTCATTAAATAAAGACAACATGATAGTAACAGTTCAACAGTTATATAACTTATATTTCTGTCCAAAAGTAGTGTGAAATTGTTATAATGATATCCATGTCAAAGTTTGACTTTTTTATAAATAAAATGTTAACATTATTAAGGGGGGTATAAGAATTGTAACCCTGGGAATGTGAGGTGTGATCATCCAGATGAACATAATTTACATGGCTATCTGATCTCATACTGGAATTAACTTTTAAAAGGGATAAATGTCAGCTGTGACTGACCAAAGACTCAAAACTACCAAGGGATTCTTATAGTGCTCTGAGGGGTTTATTTGAGTGTCATACATATGACCATGATGTTCAGAAGTCTCTTCAAGGCAGGGGCCCCCAACCCCCAGTCCATGGCCCGGTGCCAGTCCATGGGCTTCCTGTAACTGGGCAGCGGAAACAGATCTCTGCCTCCCTGCGTGGTAGGCGTGTTGCGCTCGAGCGCAAACACAACATGTCCCCTCCCGTGAGCGCAGAGGTGCCCCCTCCCGCCAGCGCACAGAGCCCGTGTCCCCAACCGGTCCACGGTCCCAAAAAGGTCGGGGGCTGCTGCTTTAAGGTGCAGTACATTATCTGGGTTCTATACAGATAACTCTGTGGTGCAATGGTTAAACTGCAGCAGTGTAGCAAAGCCTCTGCAAACAACCTGAGTTTGATCCTGATGGATTCCGGTAGCTGGCTCAAGGTTGACCTAGCTTTCCGTACTTCTTGGGTCGCTAAAATGAGCACCCAGCTCATGGGGGAGGGGAGGGAAGGTGTTCCTTGCATTCATTACATTATAAACTACTCAGAGAGTATTCTAGCACTATGGAGTGTTATATAAGTTGAAACAACAACAATAACAAATAAAAACTCTTTGTAGAAGAGAAATGGTTGCTGTGGGAATTATCCACAGGTTTCCCTGCCCTTAAGAGTTTACATATGTAGGACCCAAGGAAGAAGTGATGTGGTAGCCCTAAACCTGACAAAAGAGGGAACACGTGGGTAATCTCTTTGTGTCTATGACTGTTATATTACCATGGAACAACATTTTTCTGACTGGTAAAGCAGAACAGTCTTTTTGAAACAGCCACTTAAGCTGGTGGCAGGATGAGACACAAACTTCCTAAAAGACTGCATAATTCTTATATCTAACATAGAACAAGATGCTCAGCTCAGAAGTGAACAAAGTAGTTTGTTGTTAAGAGTTCAAAGATGTACACAACAGAAAAAACACGATGTCATTGAATGGACTCATAACACTCCACTATGTTAATCTGAAGACATGGGCTGAACTCCCTCCTCAGACATGCACGATTCTCTCCACAACAAACAGACAGCTGAAGATTCTTCATAACCAGTGTACCTCTAAGGATCTGCCTGAGGTCTGGTCTGTTCCATGCTGCCCCCGCATATCGCTCCTGCCCTAGAGCTACCCAGCAGAGGAGAGGACAATTTTCTGCAAATCAAGCCCCACCCTCTGCCTGGTACTCTCACAAACAAAACAAAAACAAACAACAACATGTTAGACAAAGCAGTGCAATTGGATAGGATTAAACAGCATCCCAATAAGGCTGCTGTGGGTCAGACCGACTCACCTCCTTTTAGACATTTGAAATATTATTTGTTGGATATCTAATCACAGTTTGTTAGAGGAAATGTGTTCAAAAGGCTTCTGGCTTTTTGAACGCTATCAGATTCATTCAATTAAGACGAAGGTTCATTTCATCAGTTGTCTAATGAGTTTTTGCTCAGTTATGTTTCCTTCGTCCACTCCTGTTCTAGCTACACTCTGCTTGTCTATCTGTAAATAAACTCAAGTAAAGTGAGGCCCCATCATCCTTCAGAGATCTCTGCTTCCAGAGAAAACCAAAGTGGGGTAACAAACTGGCTCTGGAAGTTCTTACTGCATTAGAACGTGGAACGTGCATGACAGTGTTATATATGTTATGTGTATACAAATATACATTACACACAGCACACACACATAGAATAGGGAAGCAGGCAAAGAGAGGGAGGGAAGGAGGGATAGAGAGAAAGAATATGCGAGGTGTAGGGCTTATAGCATATGGAAGGTCACATTGGTGGCCATCTTCGCAACAGGAGATCCTCAATGTGGATCCCTTAGCCTGCCAGGCTCCTCATAGAAGTACTTGCCTGACTCCTTTTGGCATAGCCTTGGACAAAACCAAGCATCCCTGCATGTGTCTTATTGCACCATACCAGAGAAGATGCTGACTGGCATTTGGCCTGTATTTCCCTGTCTTATGTGCCCATGAGCATGGCTTTCTGTATTTTCTCCTAAGTACCTATTCTATGCCTTGCCTTACATGCCTGTTCTCTCCGCCACCTTCCTCTCCTTACAAGGTTCCCGTCCTACCTTTCTTCTGGTAGAGGTCACAGTGGACATTCCTCTGCAACTGGGTGTGTGGAGAATGCTGGGTGAAACGCAACAGCTGACATCCATGACTCTGCCAGTTGTAATGAAAGGCTCTGGAGGAGTAGCACACACAAACAGCAACAGTCTCATTATCACTTGGCCTAGAAAAGGTTTCCCTGAGCCCAAGATAGCACATGCGCCAAGAGCCACATCCACAGCATATACTGGCTGGCCCATTTAGGCTGTTATTTCCCACTATTCAAAGAGGCATATTTCTCCAGCTCCTGTGCTCCTTCACTTTTGGATCCTCCTAATGTGGCTGGTTCCTCACACTTCCGCTCTCAGTCATCATTATCATCATTTGTTAAATGTTTCAATGTGTTTTTATTTAAATTTTTTAAAGTTATTTTCTTTTTACCCTGACTTTTCCCTAAAGGATCCAAGGCTGTCTCCTTTTATAAGTCAGGAAGGGCAAGGGTAGAGCAAACAAAAGAGTCCTGTGCACACAACCCTTGAGTTCAGTGGGGATGATGGGAACAGCAGGCCACAAATATTTGGAGGATCATTCCCCCCCCCCCGCCATTCCTGGCATACAGAATGGTCAGCTATGTAAGTTCAGTAGAGGGTGCTATGCACGGTAAAGAGGTGGTACGAAACCCTCTCTCCTCATGCAACCCTCGTGTGCACACAACGGATACCTGTAACATCTGGATGTCCAGGCACAGTACATACTAATGATTCATGTGTACATGGGGGAACGCACACAGTTAAGGCCTGATTTGACTCATCAGTCTGGTACAGCATGTGGTCTGCAAAGCCAGGTTTCCAGGTCCAGCTCTCCCAGATCTTCCAGTTCAGGGATCTTGGGGAGCAGGGCTGGAAATACTTGTCTTGGCAAAACTGAGCTCTGAGGCCCAGAAGTCTTACATCCGCCATAATGCTAGAAGAAACCCTGACCAAGGACTTGGGGAACTGCTGCCGGCCACTCAGAGCAGGCAGCCACAGAGGCCAAAGGCGATTTAATCTAGCTCCTTATGCTCCTTTGCTACAGCCCTGCAGCTCACAGTCATGGCATCTGTGCCCAATGCTGCTGTTTCCCACACTTTACCTGCAGTCAAATGATATAGCACACCTCCGTGCACATTCCTCGACTTCCATGGGATATTCTTCCCTCTGGTAAGACAGGTACATCAGCTGTGTAGCTTTTAGCCTCTGAAACCCATTAAGTGGGGAGCATTGGCCTGAAAAGACATCAAAACTGTAATTCATTCTGGTTCTCTGTAAGGGAACTCAAAAGCCAATCACCACGAAAAGTCCAAGGCTATGCTCAAGAGAACCATACCATCTGCAGAGCTCGTAACTTTGTGTTTATGATGAGCACCTTGTGTTTATGGCATCACAAATGTCATAAATGTCAATGAAGCAAGAGACCCATGACTGAAGCAGACCAGCCGTGTCTTGCCTTGAAAAGGTCAAATGATGTTCATTTTCCAATAGGTCTGGAGAGGACTCCTGTCTGAAACACTAGAGATCTACCTCCAGTCCCTGTAGGCAGTACTCTGCTTGGTAGATATATCTTTTGATCTTTCAAGGCTTGGAAACACAACTTTGGAAGACTATGACTCCCAGAATCTCCAAGCCAGCATGCTCACTAATCATGTCGGCAAGCAGTTCTGCAAGTAGTCATCTAAAAAGGGAATGTTTGCTGATATACCAGTAATTATGTGATTGATTTTTTCATTGTATTTTATAATGTTTTATTCTTCTTTGTAAGCTGCCCCGAGTAGACTCTGTCTAGAGGGGTGGGGTATAAATCAAATAAATAAATAAATAAATAAATAAATAAATAAATAAATAAGTCCTCAATATTTCCAATACTGATCTAGTAGTCATAGATTATGTAGCAGAGGTGGACATCATAAGAATTCTCATAGCTGTATTTTCAAAGAGAGGACAAAAATGCACGCAGCTGTGTTGATCCAGATCAACAAAGCAGTTCTAGCTGTTGTAATCTACATCAGGAGTAGGTCTTCTGTAAAGCCAACAGGTCTTAATTGTCTATTCAAGATCAAGTATAGATAACTCTATTTGCTTTAATTCCTGATTTCCATTTACTGTAATCTGGTTTAATACTTGACCTTTAGCCATCCAGATATTTTGGATTTCAGCTGTCAGGATCCCTGGTCTTTCAGAGCTTTTGGAATCTGAAATCCAAAATCTCCAAAGGAAGCAAGGGGTGGGGACTAATACTGATTACATACTCAGCGCATCTGGCTTCCCGTGGCAAAGGTACAGTGCAGTTACATTTCAGGGACTGACTAATCCAAGAATACATGATACATAGCTGACAAAATGCACAGACAGGAAGGGCTCTGGGATTTTCCATGGCTGCATATCAGACAGGTGCTTGATAGGCTAAGCCCTTCCTAACAGTGAGTCTCATAGCTTCACCTGCTGAAAGCCTGCCATCAGTCTGCCAGAGATTCTTGCACCCTGAGAGGAGCAGCAACTGTGCACAAGGGGCCTGCATGACTTCTCAGTTGCTTTTTCCTCCTTGTTCATTTAGAGCTCTCTGGGGACAGAAGGAACCTGGGAGAACAAGAGTTGGAAGAGAAGAAACTGCTATTCTCTACTCTGCCCATTCCTCAGGCTTTAGCAGAACTGGCATAGCATTGCCAGCCCTTTCTTTCAGAATCGCCCACAATCTATATAGCAGCATTTTGCTGCCTACCCACCCAAATCAAGGTGTAGATTGTAGCCGAAGCCAGCCAAATTATGTCAGTACATGAGATAGAAAATGCCACACACATACTTTTCCCTTTCCCTAGCAATAATCTTCACAATAATCCCAAATTAATCGCAAAGAACCACTTGGCTATATGTTCACCAGACTCCAGACTTGTGGCCTGAGGGAGCTTCCTCGCTCTGCCAAATAACCAAGCCGGCTTCTGTTGCCTGCCTGAGGTATCTCAGTGCAGAAGGCTTTGGCATGCCACCATGCTAGAGGACCAAAGAGAAAGGGATTTGGGGGGCAGCTACTCAACTGGCACTTGATGTCACAAGAGAAGCAAGCTATGGAAACAGAGAAATGGGACTCACCTCTGCTGAAAGTACAGAGCAGTACCAAGAGCACGACAACGGGAGCGTTCATGACTCTCTCCGGCACCAAAAGTCTCCTACACTTGACAAGGCAGATATCTCAGCAGGGTTGTATGTGCAGGAACATCCTAACAGGAAGCAGCATGCAGAGCCCCCTGACCCCACTGGCCAAATATTTACCCAGGGCTCACATGTGTCAGCAGTATCTCCACAGAGGGGAAAGGAAAAGTTTCAGTGGATATGGGGTGCAAACTGCTCCAGAGGGGCTCACTATCATGGGCACCCTTAAGGAGGAACGTCCCCCATTCCTTTCTTCAGCTGGTGAATCGCTCCCTTTCTCAGACCCCAGCTGACACAAAAGATAAATATGTAGTCATAAAAATCAATGCAACACGGAGTCAAATTAGGAAATGGCTCCAAACCAGTGCACGCTGGCTGTGGATCAAGACTCTTCCCCTTCCTGTAAGTGGTCTGACAGCTGCGACCGCCCCGTATTGTCATAAACACTTCCCAGCAAACAAGCCTGGGTGGAAGAGGGAGCTAGTAAAAATCCAGCTCAGGCTGCCAAAGTACATCTTCAGAATGTAACAGCGGGGCTGCAGTCCTGAGCCCTGCGTAACTGAGACCATCAAGCAACATTTAAGAGGAACCTGAAGCTAAGCAGAAGCCCCCAGAGAGCTTTCATGGGGCAACTTAAAGATTAACAGATTCTTTTTATGTTAAGGACACAATTAATTTCTTGTGGACCACAACTCTCTCCTTCAGAGATATGATATGCAAAAGAAAAGCAGATTTCTTTAATGGCTCTGTTACCACCACAACAGAGTTTTCCAGGGTGGCACACAGCTGAGGAATACAGAACTAGGGCAACACATTTTGCATGGATCCAAACTCAGTGGCAAAGAGCCTATGCACTTAAATAGCTACACGACAGGTGGAAATTTATAGATGATGCTTCTGTAACTTGGAAAAAATGAGGGCTACTGATTCCTGCCTGTAAAGTCATGGGGTTCCGTGCCAGAGAAGAATGTAGCCACATGTGCAGGATAGTTATGGCACTGCCTCCCATAAAGTAGCAGCTCTTCATAAAAGGTTTATGCCTAATAAAAGATGTTAAGTATTACAAGCCTCTTTGTTGTCAAAATACGGTAGAAAATTTGCGTGGTTATTACTGTGAATATATGGATTTGGGAAGAAAATATCCAAACTACTTACATTTCTTTGAGTGTGTTTGCATATACATGCACTACCTACATTTTTATTGTACATTAGATTTAGAATTAAGTGAAACTAAGTTTTGCATAACTGCACAAAGGAATGCCACTAGAAAACCTCATCCTAGCTGTTATCATTCACACTGTGTGTGGTCACATCTTTTAATAATATTCTACATTTAAAAATCATCTTGTAACCAGGAAGCAGGAATACAGGTGCTGTTTTTCCATTTGAAAGGAATGTTGTTGTTCATTTGGAGGAGGATTCACCCGTCCAACTTAACCACCCATCACTCCGCCATTTTAATAAGTCAAAGGAAAATATAAGGAGGTTTATGGCAATCAACCTGAAAGCAAAACAAGGTGAATTTCATTTCAGTAGGAATGGCTGGGCTTGATTAGAATAATCTAATTCACATTTCAATGTGACTGGTAAAGCTTGATTAGAATAATCTAATCAAGCCTGATCATTTGTATGGAAATAGTTTATGCCATTGCTTTGCTTTGCTTTCAGGTTGGTCACTGTACAACTCCTTATATTTTCCACTTTATTTTTAAGGTATTTATATGTATCTTCAGATGGGTGGTTTTAATTACAGGTTAAAGAAAAGGGAACCACACATCCACATGTGTGAACAGAAGCAAAAGGGAGAATTAAGGAAACAACAACAGTCAAGGGGGTGTGTGAACAGGGAAGGTGGGGATGGAACAGGCAGAATAATCTAATCAAGCCTGACCATTCCAAAGCAGCCTACAGTACACTAGTTCACTCCCTGCAGCTAGTGTAGCCCCATCCTCAGTTATCATAAAACAGAAATCAGTCAAACAGCATGATTTTATTTATACATGCACTAATTAAATCTGCAGTGACTCCTAGCATATTATATAACAGCACACCCTTCAGCAGTTCAAAATAATGTTCAGTCAGATCTTTTCTGCGTTTTACAGATGCACTGCTGTATCAGCCAATACAGGACCACCCTCTTTTTCCCAACAATTGTCTGCCTCCTCTGTTCGTGCCCCCTCCCATCGATTGTTGTTGTTTCTTTGATTCCCCCCCCCCTTTGCCTATGTTTGAACATGCGGATGTGTGATTCTCTTTCCTTTAACCAGTAATTAAAACTGCCCATTCGAAGATGCACATAAATATCGTTTTTTTAAAAAATAAAGAAGGTGGGGTTAGAGCAAGGCATGATATTCCCATCATGCGACATCACACCCAGCATCTAACATGCCTACGGTGACAGCATGCACACCCATCAACTGGATTAAAACAATCATCTTTGACTGTGTGGCTCTCCCACCTATTCCTCACTCTAGATGGACTTAAATTCATCTTTTCTTTTTGCCATGACTCCTGGCCTGCAATACTTAAAAGAAAAGTATTCACCCATCTTTTCACCCAACTAAACTTTGAAACTAGAAATGTATCCATGACAATTGGCTGGAATTGGACTCCCCACCTCCCACAGCCCTTCCTACGAGAAATGAGGTGGGAGTAGATGCACTCTGCCACGTCTAGGCAATGAGTGAACTGCCCCTGATGCTATAAACTGTAGCATCCCCAAAGGAAGAGTACCACCATATCTAATTTAATTCTAATGTAACTGAGTTAGTTAATGCAATGTAAATCATTCATGCTCAAACCATTAAAAAAAGATTTGTCCCAAAAGCTTTTCAAAACAAGTAGTAGCTAGAAACATTGTTTTGCATTGATACCGCTGCGTTCTTAAATTAAATACATGGGTTACTTATATCTCAGAGCTGGATCTCCTGAGCCCTACTGACAATTTAATTTTGATAGTTGTAATTTTAGTAGCATTTGCTGGTTTCTTCTGTAAATCACATCATGTAAACTTCAAGTATGAGATCTCCACCCTTTGCTGATGAACTTGGAAGTTATATTTTCTAACCTTTAATTTTTTTGTCCTGAAAGGATTTTTAGTTGATAACAATTACAAAGACATACATTTGCACAGAGGGTGTTCATTTTCAAACTTTGGGTGCAGTTACACTGGCAATAAAAAAAATGCAGCTGAATCGGTTTAAATACCTGAATTGGTTTCCCCAGACCTACAACTGGGGAATACCTGATCATATGTATTGGGTGTGTGTCACAAAACTAAGTCTTCACCAAGACTCTAACAGGTAACCATTTCTTAGCACAGATCCTAACCCCTTCTAGCTAGGAATACCTTTAAACTCAAGCCCATTCAACTTTTCTTTGGGTTGCTTCAGATCCCACCGCTGTGCCACCAATTTGTCATGGTTCCCACATGGCCCCTGCTTTTTTCCCCAAACAAAGAGCTCACGCTACATGCCCCTCAGCTGCCACCAGTTGATTACATCATCAATACCTACTATTAATAATCGAGGTCCAGGCCATATGTCATTTTAAAAGAATCAAATAGAAATTGTTTATAGATACAGGTGTGGAAGAAAAAAACAATGTTGTTAACTCTTAAGCAAACATTCTCCCTTGTCCACCCTCAACCACCAGTCTCCCACCCAAACTCCAAAACTCTCTCAATCTCTGTATTTCTCTATCTCAAAACCCTATCTAAACTACCTCTCCTCCTGCTGAGTCTCTTATATCTTGTGATTCCGCCCCTCCAGCACTCCCATTGGTCTATGCAGATAGCATATGAATATTCATGACCTGGGCAGAAACCACAGTGGGTATGTCTGTTAAATTATTGTGAAATCAAACTCCAGTAGGTCTGGGGTTGCCACACTTATGTACTGTCAAGTCATATCCAACTTATAGTGATCCTAACAGGATTTTCAAGATACTTGTAATATTTAAGGACTCACTTACTGTATGTTAAAGCAATAGTTTGGAATATGAGTTGGTGTAAATCAAAGTGACTTAAATCGATTCTGGGTCATGTGGCAGTCACATGGTGTTTGAATTGTAGTTTGTGTTCCCTTGGAACAAATATATAATCTGGTGTTTTTTGAAAGGACACCCTTGCCAGACTCATGGAATCTATAGTATCTCCAATTCAAGGCTGGAATTCAGAGAGACAGGTATGCATGCATGTATATTTGTATACCCCGGGTGTGAGCACCCATAGGAGGGAAGTGCAATACGAAATTGCAATACAGTACAAAGAGCAAGCTGGCAGTAGAAAGCCTTTGTGCACACAGTGGTGCCTTGTGAGCACTGACCCACCCAGGAGAGCACAGTGGCAACGAGCAACTGACACACAATATAAATGTGCAAACAAAGCACACAGAGAGACAGCTGATGCAAAGGAGGAAATATGGGTTGAAAATGGCTGGCTGGAGTGGAGAAGAGAGAAGCAGTAATGGCAGTGCTTTGCCTGCCTTCCTGCTGCGAGTTCTGGAATTTGCATGCCAGCTCAGTGAAGAGATGCTTGCCTTATCTGTCCCCTGACCCTGGAAATGGAAGAAGACTGGTGTAGGTGGGTGGGCAAGCAAGAGGCTCCTACAGGTTGCTTGGTGCATGGGCTTCTCCCTCACCCCCATTTTTAACACAACACCAGGGGATAAGTCGGTGTAAAAATCATCCAGAGAAAGGGCAATTTTAAAATTAACACAGACATGAGGGGAGGGATCAATTTAAATGAATTGATTCCACATCCATGTTAAAATAAACAAACTTTAGGCAAAGGGGTAAAAAACACCTCACTGCTTCTCCAAAAAAACACAATTTGCTGTCAAATCCATCTACTCTTACATGTTGCATGTATTCACACATTTTTACAGCAATTCAAAACAGTCTAAAACCAATTTAAATAAAGGGCTTTTTAAAGCCATGCTTCTGAGGAGTGGTTTTACCAGTGCCACCCACCCCCTCAAGTGAGTTCCCATGGCTAGGGGGTATTCCAACCCACCATCTTTTGAGTCCTCGTCCACCAGTCTGTCCACTGTGCCACAGTGGCTTCCTAAACAGACAGTTTCATATCCCTACCAATGTAAGTGTATACTAGGATAAGTGAATAGCAAGGCAAAGGAAGAAAAATTACCAGTGTGGGGTCAAAAACGGGATGAAAGAAGACAGCTAAAACATGACGATGGAGGGGTAGAATGAATGGGTTTTTAATCCAGTCAAAGCAAGCCATTTTCGCCAGTTTAAAAATAAGTTGAAGCAAGCTGCCCCTTTCAGTGAACACATTTCTAATTAAATTGGTAATTAAATTAATTCTTACAGGTTAGCTCATATTACAGATAGGAAGATAATTGTACCTACAGTACCTACAGTACTGTTGACTGACTGAGGGACTCAGAAAGGTGTTAAATCTGCTCATAATGGGAGATACAGTCTTTGAGATAGCTTAGGCCCAGGCTGTTTAGGGCTTTATACTGTAGTTTAAAACCAGCACTTTGAATTGCTCCTGGAAACTGATTGGCAGCCAGTGTAGCTGCTATAAGGTTGAGCGTGGTGGTGGTGGTCAGGTGACCTCTGTAACCAGTCCCAGTCAGCAATCTGGCTGCTGCATTTTGGACTCGAAGTTTCCTGACACTTTCCATCAGCAGCCCCACATAGAGTGCATTACAGTAATACAGCTGAGAAGTAAGGGTATGTGTCAAAGTGGCCTGATGACATCTCTCAAGAAACTGATGTAGATGGTGTACTAGTTTTACTTGTGTAAATGAACTCCTGGCCAGCGCGGAGACCTGGGCATCCAGGGTCAGAGATGAATCCAGGGGTAACCCCAAGCAGTGCATCTGGTTTTTTTCCCCCAATGGAAGAGTAATCCCATCCAGCACCCCGTGCATGCCTCTTCCTTGATCTGCCTTTCGACTGACCAGGAGCACCTCTTCCAGATTTTGCTAAGAGCCACCCCAGATTCAAGTCTGCCGTTATCACTGAAGCTAACAGCTGCATTTTCTCTGTCAAATTCGACCACGCTTGTTGGTTCCTTATCACATTAAAATCAAACTTCGCTCCCTTTGGAAACACTGTAAAATTCCCGGCGTCGCTCGTCCTCTTCACTAGGAGTTGAACGAAGACAGCCCATCCTTTTAAGGTAATTCACATTCCTTCACGCAGGAAGAACAAGGAACACGGGGGGGGGGAGGGGGAATCAACCAGTCGCAGCCAAATATTTGCTCGTGACCAGGACTGTTCACTACACACGAACATCCTCCGCAACCCGCCAAATTACGCTAATTGGAGCCGTCCTGCCACCTCGACCTATCTTCACCAGAGGGCGTCAGCGTTAATCTGTTCCGACACCTCCTTCACTGGGAATTCAAACCCATTTCTTCAACAGAGGCCCGGAAATTCCTCTCTTGGGCTTCTGGGAATCGTAGTTCATTCGCCTTCCCACAGACTTTATATTTATAACCATGCCTGGCGCCTTCGGACTGTGTTTCCCAGCAAGCTCCGGGAGAGCAAGGCGCGCGGAGCATCATGGGGCTCGTAGTCCAGCCCTTCTCCGGTCATAAAGCGCCTTAGTGTGGCGGGTCCGGCTCACCAACCAGGACTTCAGCTCCCAGAGGGCGCGGCGGCACCGCCACCACCATCACCCGACCGGCCCTAGTTTGGCGGGAGGAGGAGGAGGGGGGGGAAGAGAGCGAGAGCGAGAGATCGATCCAGGGGAGGAAGGAAGATGGTGGAGCAAGCGGCGTGGTTCCCACTTCAGGAAGCGACCGGCCCCGTTCATCCCCACCGTAGAGACGCCGCCTGGTCCGAAGCCGCCTCTTGATATTCACCCAGCTCGGCCATGCCTCGATCCCGCCGGGGCGACGGAGCCCGCCGGGGCGGCCGAGGTGAGCGAGGGCGCCGGGACTTTTGGGGGCTGCTGACTTTCTTGCCCACCTGTTTCCTTCCCTCCTTTTTTCTTTGCTTGCAAGCGAGGTGGGGTGGGGATAATATCCCCCCGGTTCCACGGGGAAGAATCCGCAACAGGCAGGCAGACAGGCACCCCGCAAGTTCACCGGCGGTCTCCCCGCCTGCCTGCACCACCGCCACCGCCACCACCCCCAATTATTTCTGACAGCTGTTGCGCTGGCG